TGCCAAAAAGAGATTTAAACTGGCAACTGAATTGGATTAAATTCAATATTGCAACTGGGCTTTTTAAATTTGCTGTCTAAGTCATCCAGCTGTCAGAAAAACTAAAACCTATGAGTCTGAACTACTACGCAAAAACATTGCAACATTTACAGTAATTGCCAAAGTTTGCAACATTCATAGAGACAATACAGCAGATTTATAAATACTAAGAAATACAGCGAGCTGATAAATTATTTCAATTACTTATACAAAATAAATTACCAAAACTGCATTTTGCTATTTGGTATTGAGATGGGATTTTGCACTGGAAATAAAGCAATCTAACTTCAAACACTATTAAAAACTAAGCAAGGAATTACCTGTCTTCAAGCAGAAACATCAGCCACCACCACCTACTCTCAAACACCATGACAAGACATTTGTCAGATCCAGGAAAAAGTAAGTGTCCCAGCCATTTACACTTTCTGCACACAGAACACTGCAGGACTTGAGTAAACAAATACTCTGCAGACCCTGGCTGAGAGAAAAGGGCTCCTGTCTGATTATGCACAGATACACAACATTAAATCAAAGGCTGCCTACCCATAGCCAGAACCCTCAAGAGATGCCGTTGGTATGTGAACTCACATTGCAGGCATATGCTGCACTCCCATTTGAGATTGAAGAATTTCTTTTCCTTTGAAGCATCCTCCATTGAGCAACCAGACATGGAACAAGAAGATATGAAGTCTTTGTAACTAAGAAGAGACAACTAACTTGTGCAACCTAACCATTAACATCCTTCTTTTCCTAATCCTCATTTTAATCTAAAATCACATTATGGGTAAATTGAAGGAATTATTTCTTCCCATCCCAAAGTACATGGCAGAAGGTCTGCAAGCCCTTTGTGCAAACTGACACTGAAATTGCTCTACCAAATGCCACATAAACTATTAAGACCTGGAGTATTGCACATTAACCATGACAGTATGGACAGAGATGCAAGAAGCAACACCTTAGAGTAGAGCTACTTCCCCCAGTGGTGACAACAAACAAACAAAAGCTGAAAGCTTAAGCTCTCAGAACATAACCCACTCAGTTCAAGAAAACAGGAAATGACTGAACCCTGCCAGAGTAATGTTAAACAAGTCAGAACCCTGGTAACAGGGTGACCTTCTTAGCTGATGCTATGATCAATTGTTAGATCTATTATGGAGCCATAAAAAACCCCAAGCATCTGGAAGGTTGTTCTGAAGGCCAACTAGTATCTCAGAAAGAGAAGAAAATTTGGACTGGAAAAAGAAACAATTGCTTATCAAAGATCCTAAATTCATATTAAGTAATTCATGAGTCAACAACACAATAACAAAAAAAAAACCCTCTTCAGTTCATGCAATTATTTAATCCCCCAGTCCTCCAATCTAGAAGTCATAACCTTTGTTGATGCAGCAGTTCCAAAAGGAGCAGTGTGAGTACAGAGGGAACCCACAAACTAGTATTTTCTATCTGCTTCTATCTATTCTCACATCTGCAGCCAGAAACTTCCACTGCAGCCCAGAAAATTCCAGCAGCCTCACTAGCAGACAGGAGCTGAACATCAACTACTGTGACAATTCTACCATCACAGAGGTGGTGATACAAGATCTTGCTTCAAGAGATCTTGGGAAGCCCATTCATCTCCCAAAGAACAGAGCTGATGTTGAAACAATCCCTCACAGTATTGCTTAAGGAAGGAGGTTTGGCTCCAGCAGCTCCTAAGCCAGAGTATATCTGCCCCTTAAGCTCATGATAACTGAGGCTCCCAAGCACCAGCCTGGGTTAGGTGGAGCACCAGGTGGTGCAGGTTAGTTCAAGAAGTATAGGAAAGAGCCAAAAAGTTCAGATGGACAGCTTGTGTCCTTCCACATCCAATTTAAGACAAAGGTTGGCATCAAGTGATTATGACACTGCTTGTGTTGAGAAGGATGACAAGAAAAAAAGAAAAGCACAGTTGAAACAGCGAAGATATGCCTTGATTAGCTGCTTGTGGCATAAGAACCTGAAGGAAGCCACTGGGTCATTCACTGTGCAAGTGCTGGGGATGTCAATTCCAGAGCTATGAGTGGTGGAGGAGCTGAAATAATTTCAGCATCAAGAAAGAGCTGATAGGACACACAACCAGAGGTTGCTGACTGTGTCAGCAATAAGGTGTGAATTTAGTTCATGGGGCAAGGCTATGCAGGATTTTTAAAGCAACATTCAACCAAACACTTTAATCCAATAGGAAATGGTGACTTTTCTGGGCCATTGGCATCCTGGTTTAAAAAAAAAGACTGGACACCTTTTCAGAAAGTATACTTTAAATCAAAGCACTATTAGGGCACAGCTCTTGCAGGCTCAGCCATTTGGTGCTGGTGAGCCAACGTTCAGGCAGTCTGATCTGGAGCTAAGTGGCCAGCTGCAGAACCCAGTCTTGCCTAAACTAGGAGCAAACAAACCCCTGGTGCAAGGGTACTTCCAAATTAATGCTTGGAGAGCTCACACTGCTAGAAGCCAGAAGCACCAGCAGGTCAGGGTGTACAAACCACTTCAAGTCTGATTCCACTTTCCTGTCCCACTCCTCTTTTAAGCAGTTGCTGGCAGACAACTAGTTGTCTCCATGTCTTGAGCACACCAGTGTCTGCAGGTGAGTTGCATCTACCTTATGTTTGCCTTGTAAGAGAGGCATCCTGTACCTCCACAGTTTCCATCTGGGGTTCAGAACCACCATTTGCTAGGTCTTGTTATGAATTGCATTAACCTTCTCTGCCCAAAGAATCACACTAAGACAGTAAAGCAGGCTCCTTTTCTCCTTAGTATGTACCCCTTTATATGATTCTAGTATTAGTCTAGTTCATAACAGCAGATAATTAAAAACCTCCTCACTTGTTAAGTCTTGCTTTTGTTTCATATTCATTAAATAGTTGATTAAATTGAACCAGTTAAAAATCAGCCAGTGTGACAGCCCCTCTATTTAAGAACAAAACTCAAGTCCTAGACTGATGAAAGAAATAAAACCTGAAAGTCTTTACCACCCTAGAAAAACAGGAAAGCAAATATTTCCTTACAAGCTGCTGCCTAATCATTTTGCTATGGTCCTCATAAACAAGTGATATTTTATACTTTTATGAACTCTTATCCCATTATTCTTTCATGGCAAGCACTCAAAATTAACTGTAGCAAAACAGTCACTCAATTAAAGAAAAGAGTTGGGGTTTTTTTCACTTGCAATACGTTGTGTTCTATTTCAAGCCCAGTTTTCCGTCTATAACTTAGTCCTAGTTGTAGCAGAACAAAATTCCAGCTTTTATGACAGAAGACTTTTTTTGATCAATAGAAGTCAGCAGCAAAAGCGTTTGTGGTTTTTCTCTGGAAAGCATTTGTGGCCACAGACTCAAAGAAGGAAGAAAGGGAGGGGGATTAACTCTTCAGTGAAGGTCAGAAACATAATTTAAAAGTGAACCAAGAAGAGCAGCTGTGTCTGTCAGCACAATCAGGATTACCAGCTGGAGAATTTACCAGCAGTATGAAAACAATGCACACCAGATGTCAAATGTTGCAACTGTGAGTAGGAAAGCAACTCTGGGCATGGCACTGTCATGTTAATACTCATTACCAGACATTAAAATGCATATTTAATATTATTTATTAAATTTATTTATATTTATTTATATTTGTAATATATAAATATTACATATTTAGCATTTATTTATTAATTGGACATTACCAGGAAGAAACACCAACATTTTGAGCTTCACAGTGTAAGTCAGAGGCAGGTGTGCACACTGGAAACATTTAACATCCTTTATTCTCAGTTATTCTTCCAGTGCAAATGCAAGACAACAATTTTAAAGCTAACTAGCAAATACTAGAACATCTGTGGTTGAACTTGCTTTAGTTTCATTCAGTTCAATCTGAGCTTTTAACTTCAGTTTGGACTTTCTTTCAACTAAATCTGAAATAAATATTAAGAAAAGAAGTAAAACCACACTGTCTTCCATATATAGCTATCTGGAAATAATTGTACCTAAGTTATTCAAAAATGACACAAATAATTCACTTACACCTCTACCAGCACTTTCTTCATCAGCTGCTTGTTATCTTTCTTGTCTTTCTGGGGCATTCTTGCCTTTTTTTTCCTGCACATTTTATGCCTTGAAGATGAACTTATCCATTCCAGTGCTTGAAACAGTGACACATCAGTTTTGCTATGTAAAATATCTGATGCTGATTTTTCTTCTTTTGTATATTCTTGTAATACCTTGGTCACATCTCCCTTTGCACTGATGCCAACAGAAACTATGACTGTATCTGCTGCAGCTTCTCCCACGTTCATCCCTGTTCTCCAAGTATCTCTCCTAAATGCTTTAGTTGCCACACTACAGTACCCTCCTTTTTCTCCCTTCCATGCTCTTTTCCCAAGAATGGATGGCTCATCCACTCATACATACAAGAAGTAATCCTTACTGTGACAGAATTTTCCTGTTTTCGTTGTTAAATTCAGTTTTAACATAATATTTCTCTCATTAAAAATCAATTATAAGTCCCCAGGAAACTGAAAATAAGGATGGCACTATTGGAATTATTTATCATATAGGCTATTCTAGGAACTTGTTTGAAGTTTGTTTTATATCTTCCTTGATGGTGCAATTGCTTTATCTGAAGGAAGACATGCTCACGGAAAAATATGGTACCAGCATAACTGAATCAAGATGAATAAAGTTATCCAAATGCAATTACTGTCAGCAGAGGGAATGGACATGTGCTTGTGGCACCTTATCCTGACATGGAACATATGTTAGTGTAGGGCTGTTACCTGCTGCAATTAAATAAAGAAATTAGAAATGCCTAATCAATTGACACATTTAGCTGCTTATGCAACCATTACTTCTTCTGCTCTCTTCAAGAAAGAAATTTCTTATATACTTCATTATCATTAATTCAAATTCTCCTTGGCCTCTGCACTCATTCTACTGTATTACAGCCTATTCCTCATGGCTTACCTTTGCTTTGCCATCCTGTGCAGACATGTATCCAACACACATGCTCTCTGTTGTATGGCTCCACAGAAATTCCACTATAAAGGAAAATGCAACAAGTTACAAAAAGGCCTTGGTTTAAAATACAAAATGTAATTTAACAAGATTGGTGTCTTGAGGAACAAATATAACAAGGATAAAAAACAAAGAACAAAAGTGATTAAATCTCAAAACAACCAAGATTTTCCTCAGTATTCAGTGTCACACACTACAGAACTATTACCTAGAATGAGAATGTTACTTGAATGATAGGGAGCCTCCAAGATGAGAAATACATCAACTGAAACTGCAGTTAAAAACTGAACCAACTTCTAAAGCAGTGGCCTATTCCACTCATCAGTAAAAGCTGATAGAACTCGCCTTTGCCTACTTTGAGCCCAGACAAAAGCACACTGCAACAGCATAGGCCAGATGGACTACTATCAACAGGTAAAAGGGGATTTGTGGCTTAGCTGCCCAGGCAAGATACAGGCAAACATGCAGAAATAGTCAAATCTGCAATATGGGAATTGAAGATATAGAGCAGGCAGGAAAGACATCTGGTAAAAGCAAATTTATCCTGCAGAAAAAGGAAGAGAGGTGTCTGATGGAATCAGAGTAACATGCACAATAAGAAAGAAAGATTTCTGGCAAAATTAGACGATGTCCTGGATTCAAAAGTATGCTGAATTACAAACATCCCCATTCTTTGTGGAGAGTGTAAGGAAGCACCAAAGCTAAGAGAGGAAAGAAAGATGAAGAAGAAACCCCTATCAAAGCACTCTCAGGTGTGATTACCTGTGCTTCCAGCACCAGATATACATCACCAGCTCTCTGGTACTGCACTCACAGCTAATTTAGGGTATCAGTGTTAAAGACCAACTGGCATGCTTGCAGTGATAATGTTGAAGAAAGCCAATCACCGCTCACATATATTGTTAATGCCTGTTATTCCAGTGATGTGCTGTCCTGAAGTCTGAAAGTGTCCTGATTTATCAGTTGTTTAACAGCCTGTTCCAGTAACCTTTACTTGCCTGGCACATCTGCAGGTATCTTTATGTACACAAACACACTCCTACTCAGCTGCAACACAAAATTCAGACAGAGCACATTGTTCATATGTTCAGCTTTCCATCAGTGTAGGTTTATAAACTGCCACATTGTTTTCTTCCTGCTGTCTGTCCTGGTCATTTTTATTTGTGTTCATGAAGCCCATAATTTGGAACAGGGGAAAGGAAAAAAAATAGCTGATCAGAATTCAAGGCATTTCACAGAATTCTGTAAAAGGATTTTTAAAAATGCACTGAAGCACAAATTCTTCCTCTGAATTATGGGAGGTGTCTAACATGAATTACACAAGATTCCACGAACAGACATTTCCACATATTTCTTTTGACAGTGACTTTAATATTGCAAAGAAGCATCACACTAGATGGGTTTAAAACTTTTACTCATTCCTATTCCTCACATTCCTTTAACGTGGCTGATGAAGGTCACAGCCTGCTGAGCACACTTATCCTTTGAACCACTTCTCCTTGCATAGCAATTAAACCAGAGCAGGAGATCAAAGCTTAGATGATCCCAGCAAGACTTGAAGATTCTGACAGATATGCAGATATCATCATAAAAGAAAAATTAACTTCATCGAGGTGTGTGCTCTGCTCCCCCGTAACAGATTTGTGACTGATACCACCAGAGCTGAAAAAAAAGCTTTCAGAGAATGAAACACATCCAGCACAATCAATGTGTGGTCAATGGGGCCAACCTCTCTGTGGTACCCCAAAGGCTCCACTGTCAGTGAAAGCATTTTTCTAAAAAACAAATTGAATCTCATCTTTCAATTTTGATAAGCTGGTAAACAGTTCAGGCCAAATACCCTGAAAATATTATATCTTGGCTTTTGATAACTACCAAAACTAGCCTGTACTACCACAACCTTGGTTATTGTCAGCCACTACAAATAGGGAACTATACTGAAAATTCTAAATTACATGTGAAACATCTTCAGATGAGTATATTTTCAACCATTTAACAAGTTCCTTCCTTGCAATTTTTCTCAATATTGAAAAGAAATAAATAAAGATGATTCCTGTAACAAAGACATGAGCGTTCCTTATTCTATACATGAAGTTTTTCAGTATTAAATTTTATTATTTTCAACTTATTTTCAGTCCAAACAACACAAATACTACATATGTTTAATTATGTATTATCTCTGCATTCATTAAAAGGGAGGAAGTTTCTATGGCACAGAAAAAGTACTGTGTTACAGCTATTATTCAGTCTTATTTCAGTGGAAAGAAAACAAAAAATCAATGGACAGATAGTCTTTACTTATGATGTACAGTATATGAGGATTTTAGTAATTAATTTTCGAGGAAAAAATGCTAAATCACTAATAGAATATGTTTTCTCATATGAATGACAAGCATTGGACAAATAGAAAAAATTTTCTCATTTCCAAATCTCAGGAGTTGAAGGTTATGTTGATCTTGTTTGCTCTTACTTAAACAGACTTGTATTTTTGTTTTTTTAACTCTTTTTTTAAGGATAGAATTTATGTTGCAGGATGCTGTTGCTATAGATAATGTCACAATTGGGTAAATAATAATAAAATAGAGTGTCATACAAAGGAAAAACACTTTAATTCTGGTAACATAGCCCCAGTCTGCATTAGACAGGTCAATGTGACCCAATAAATAAGCACACAGCTCCACATCTGAGGAGCACCACAGGAAAGGAGATGGCACAAGTGTCATCCTGGAGTAATTCATGTGCCCCCAACCCCAAATTCTTCCTTTAAAGAGGCTTTACTGTCTCAGGGTTGTATTTCCACCCTGTTCTGCTCACAGACTACAGCCTCCAGTTCCCATCTGTTTCTCCCACACAAACTATGTGACAGTTTTCCATAATGCACTTTTCTGTCATAAAGCAGCAAGACAGGGATTGTGTTTCCAGGACAGAAACAGGGATAAAGGGATGTAAAGCCCTTTTGGAACCAGCCAGCCACTGATGAAGGCAAAGTCCAGGTGATTTCAGTATGAGCAGCAGAAACTCCTGTTTGGTGCAAATGCGAATAGAAACTGTGACTTATCTAAACCGATTTTCCTGGCCATTACCAAGAATAAACAACCATAAACTACTTTCCTTATAAACTTTAAGTGTATCCTCCAAGTTTACAGATTTTCTTCTGCAAAAAAGGAGGAATAAAGAACTTTTTAGGAAGCATTTTTCATAAAGAAGCTACTGAGAAACAGTAAACAGCTACATGCATTACTCCCAGCCATAAATGCAATTTTCCCTATGAAGAACACATCTTGCCTCGCCACAAGCATTATATCTATACCATAGATTTAGAAGGATCCCACAAAACCCTCTGCATGACAATTCTGCTTAGAAATAACGAGTCAGAAAGAATGCTCTTTTCTGGAGTTGTATTAATATCAGCCTTGTTTGTTCCCTATTTCACTATCTAGATTTTTGTCAATTCCTTTTTGTTTCCTCTGTGGCTTTCAAACATGCACAGAGCTTTTATTTCACCCTTCACGTTGAATTAACACCCAGCTGAATTAAAAATGAGTAAGAATTCCTTACCTAGTAAAGTTGGTTTTTCCTGTGAGGATTCAGGATCTGCTGAACACCTGCAAGAGCGGAGAACTATCACACCTCCAAGTACACCGTCTTCATTGGCTAGAAAAGGTGAACCTGGGCAAAATCATTGGGGAGAATTACTTACAATAGGAATAGTTTCTTGGGCATATATATTTTTTTTTAATTTGACTTTCTGCTTTTCCTCTTTAATCTTGTCACTAAGGGTTGAAAAGACTGACAGATCAAACAACGCTTTTACAAAAGCATCGGTTCTCTTTTTCTTAGTCTCTCAAAAGAATAATCTTCTAAAATGTTAATCTAGTAATTAACCTGTATTCAAAAAAATGAAGAGTTGCATGGAATAAAACAAAAATATTAAAAATTACATTTGTGAGTGCAAACCTATTTGTTTATGGATCAAAGAAAATAAAATTATGAAAAATGGAGTGTCAAACTGAAAAAATAATTGTGATTCAATACTTAGCTCTTTCTGTTCTATAATTAATATAAACATAACTAAAAAAGCAAATCAAGCAAATTTAGGTAATTTTTATAGTTTATTCATTTTTGCTAATTTAAACCCCTTTGTACAGAGACATCATCAAACTGCTGTGCTGTCTGCTTTGCTGTTTGATGAAGACTAGCAGAAAAGCCTAAGCACATCCTTTTCACAGTGGCTCCTCTGTTGTTAATTTAAGACATAGGATATAAAAGTCTTCTATCAGAAGCTGGAAAAGCTTTAAAGTTAGCTGAACCAAGCCTAAGTATTCTTTCTCTGGTTTGCAATTTGAAATAAGATTCCTATAGCCTTAAATGTGGAAACAATGGTACAATTTACATACAATTTAAAATGTCTTGAGCCACAAAATTAATCAAGTTCTTGTGCTTAGGCCCATAGACATCCTAGTTACACATCTGCATTATACTGTCATTTAAAATTGAACATACAATTGCAACAGCCATTTAATGTAATTCTTTTCAATTCTTTCTTTTAAACAAATTAGTGTACAGACACTGCAATTTGCCAGCCACAAGAACTTTAGAGCAGATCTATTCATCAGACTCCTTTAACTTGCCCACAGCCATTTGTATGATTAGAATTACTCCTTTAATGCAAATAACAATAACAAAACAGCCCAATAAAACCTAATTTTGAGCTTCACCATAAGGAAAACTAAAAGCTTTATTGTGTTTTCTCTAAACAGTAGAGCAGTCACCTTCAAAAGTGATACAAAGTGGTCACAGCAACAGAAACCCACGTTGCAGGAAAATAATAAATGCAGTATGCTTAATGAGCAGTAATATGTTATTTGATCTAATGGAAACAGATATTATCTTTAAAGTGCCACTTGCTTTGTAAAAGAGCTATCACTAGTTACAGTTACACCTCCTGTATTACTCACTGACTCTGACCAAATCCCTGCAAAACCAGAATGCAGCCCATGATAAGGTAATAGATGACAAAACAGGAAAATACGTTTGGTTAAAACAGAAACACAAGGCTTGGAAAGTTGTGAAGAGTTTTACCACCCAAGTCAAAATCAGGCACTTCAAAGAATGCCTCCACCTGAACTTGGTCTGCAGACCTAATCTTACACTAAACTGCACAAATGATTTAGGCTCTAAGCCATGCTGTGGCAAAAAGTCATTGCAAAGAGACAGAAAAGGTTCTGGTTTGTTTTTTAATAAGCAGTTCCTCCTTGCCTTTCAAGGGCTATGAAAGAGTCTTCCAAGGTTCTAGAGAAAAAGACTAATTATCTCTTTAATTAGAATGGTTAAAAATGTTCTACTTCATCAGAACACAGCCAGCAAACAGTATTCACTGCAGAGAGGACATTCGAGGCCACAGTAAAACACTGGGACTGTATGAATGCACATAATCCCAGACAGCAACTACTGATTATAGACATGGTGCCACTGAAGTCTTGTTCTAGAAATGATTCCATTAGTTTAATCACTTCTTTTTAGGGATTTTGTTTCTCCCACACTCTGAGAAAATAGATGAAAGAGAAGTCTGTAAATAAGTTAATTACATATTTCTTAATTTTCCCAGTATTTTTGTCAACTATGCCATCAGGACTGATAGAATTTTCAGTAATCTGAGAAACCTTTATATCATCTTTTTAAGTCTTACAAGATTTAAGCAGGATTTTTGTTTCCATGTAGAGACTCTGCAGCAAAACATGTAACACTGAATTTTCATCAAAATTCTTCCATTTTTACAGGGATTTCTTTGCAAGAACAAAATACTCATCTCTGGCAAAACACAGAATAAAAAAATACAATCACTCAAAGCAAGTGTTTTGCGAAAGTTATTTGGAAAGGGAGTTTAAATAAGTGATTTAAAACTTGAGCTTCAAGCACATAAGAAAGTCTTCAGCTTACTACTTCATCCAAAGATTCTCAACCTCTGCATGAACAACTGCGAGCCCCAGTTCTGTCAGCATAATTACCATTTATTTATGGACATTAAACATGGTGTCCATTATATTGCCCTAAGTATGTACACAATTGTTCTCTGAACAAATTACTTCCTTCAACGATTATGCACCATGGAAGCTTTATTACCAGTCCACAAAACTCAAAGGCTTTGAAGACCAACACAGAAGTTGGAAGACTGACTGTATTAATTCAGCCTCTGCTGAAGTACACTGTCACCCTACTGCAACTGGAGAACTCCAGAGGATTAACTTAATAGCACTGCACCTGGTAGAAGTGTGATAAATGTCTTAACTTCAAGATCCATAAAACACAATGGATGGGCAAGACACTGGCTTCTTTAAGAATGACACAGGTTGGGCCCTTGTACTAAGAAATGTTGGTTATGTCACATGAAACCAGGTCTCACCGCACTAACTTTGTAAAAGTACAACTGGTGTGACACAGAGATTAATAAAATGACTTAAAGTGACTTGTAGCAGATAATTTGAATGGAGTATTGAACCAAATATCTTAAAAGTTTTTGTTATGCAAACAAAGCAAGGATGATGGGAGACATTATCTCTCCTACAGACAAAAACATAGCCTTCTTTGCCCTTTTGATCTTCTACCCCATTTCATCATCACCTGCAGAATGAGCATTACTCTGGAATGGTGGGAGAAGTCTGAAAAAAGAACAAACCCCTTGTTTTCATCTCCAAACACAAGCAGCAAACGAAGACACAGTCACTTGCACAAAGTTTCAGGAATCACAAAGATTCAGGATCGTCCCACCCACGCCACTTCCAAAGGCCACCCTGCTTCCCTGTTTCTGCTGAAGGCTGCCGCTCCCAGAGACATCAGAAGCAAATTGTGTGACTACACCCTCACCCATCCCAAATGCCTTCAGCAGCAAGTTCAGCTAAATCATCTCAGTGCAAAATCAGCAGCAACACAGTGTATGTCTCCACTGCCTAAGCTGTGGGGAATCAACCTCTAAAAAGTGTCAGTAAAAACCAGTGGCCTAGATGAATATTACAGTATTCTACATTACAGTAAATTCAGGCTGTTTCTCTGATCTTAAAAATCAGACCCTAAGCCAAATTAAATACATGCTGAACAGTACATTGTTTAAAAGTTATTTTCCAATTAAGGCAAATTTTCAAAAAATGTTAAAAGAGGGATTCAAATATTATACCTTTTTTAAACAAGGATCTTTCTAGATATGCAGACCTACTGATGATGATTACAATTATGCTAAAGAGAGCATTTTAACAGACCAGACAGTGTGAATGAGTAGGTCAAATGGTAAGCAAAATTCCAGACAGCTGAATGCTATGCATCCAACATTAAATCTGTAAAAGTAAAAAAGCAGTATTATACTTTATTTCTAATGAGAATCCATGTACAATACACAGGAATTAATCTGAGTGTTCTCAAAACACTGAATTCAAAGTTTAGGAACATATTTCATTAATTTAGTTCTAAAACTCATTTTGTTACAGCCAACCTAGTGAGAAAAAGAAATAACAGAGCAGATTTCTGTAAAAAATACCAATCTAGCTAATGATTTTTTAATATATTCATTTAACTAGTATTTTTAGAGGAGGAGAAAAAGTGGAACTAAAACACTGCCACATATATTAAAGGCAGAATGGTTTCTCATTAGAATGAAAAGGTGATCTGGTTCCCACCTCCTACACCATTTTGTCTCTCTCTTTACTCTTCAGAAAGAGAGATTTGCCTGTAAAAATTCAAAATTTATTTAAAATAAAACCAAAATATGCCTACTAGCCAAAAATACTGTTTTCCACTTCAATAAAATAGAATTGCTGGATAAATCTTTGATCTAATTGCTTGCTAATGACAAAATTACAGAAACCTGGGGCTTTAAATATCATTTTAAGTCTCATGAAGCTCAGTGTTGCTTTCCCAGTTACACTGACATACCACTGAGGAATGTGGCATGAAAAATCCAAAGTAAAACTCCAACTGCAGCATTAACTAATAATGTTAGCACTGACTGGCCACACCAGAGAGATGGGGTAGGACAAAACCAAACAAACCCCATATTTCATTAGTTGTGGTCAAATCCTCACCTTCTCCAGTCACAAAACTACATTTTACAAAACACAGTTCTCTCCTTCAAAGCTCAACTACTCTGTTATTGCTATGTGACATACAGAAAGCATTATCACATTTTTATTTATGTATTTTGCATGTTATTCATCTGTAGCAATGGTCTCTCAAAAACAAGCAAGCAGGTCTTCACAGCAACTCCATATTCACTGATCCCATGAAGTTCTGCAAGAGCAGACAGAGCTGAACACCATGACCCAGGTTCAGCCACTGATCAGGGATAGAACCGAGAGATTTCACAAGTATTAAAGCTAATAATGGCTTCAACATTCAGCCTTGCTCTGGAGGAGCAGCAGTTACAAGTGAAGAACCCTTTCTCTTCAGCATCTCTTGGGAATTAAAGCTCTTGCATGATGAAGATTGTTTCCTCCAGATCATGGGACTAATATGAGTTGTTCACTCCTGAACCCTTTTTCCCCATTTCTAGTTACTGCATAGAGCCATTCTAGCACAGATTCAACACTAAGCTGTAAATGAAGTGTTTTATTTACACTTACCAAGCTGAAGGATGAACCAGCTGCTCATCACATGTTTTACATTCATACTCATCCATAGCAGTGAAACCATTACCAGCTTCATTGTTTACATCAGGTTTCAAAGGCTTAAAAACTTGGGTCTAAACGCTGGTTGGTTGTGGTTTAACCAATTAAATGCTCCAGCATCCCTGAGTTTTAACAGAGGGCAGTTAAACAATCCTAAACCTTCCTGTGCACTGAATGAAACTCTGACTTTTTCAGGTCAACAGGCTATAAATCACCTCAGCCACTGGACTGTCAGCTTGTGTACAGAATGTGGTGGAAGTGAAGCTGTTTGCCACTCTGCTTCTGCTATGTATCCTGCTAAACTCCAAGGTAACAACTGAAATAAACATTAGAGGAATATAATAAGCACTAAATGAAGCCTGCTTTTAATTTCATGCACCATTATTTGGTGAATGTTTAAGCACAAGCTGTCTTAAGTCACAGGGCTTTATATTTCATGATACATTTAGTTCCAACATCTATATCGAATTTTTAAAGAATCTGCAAGGGAAAACACCTGCACTTTAAAACTTTACAGGGAAGATGTTAAGAAATTAATTAACTGATGATACCACAGACCAATAAAATCCCAATGCTTCTGACATGGAGAAGCATAGGGAGGACCTATACAAATCCTTGTGGAACATCACCACGTTGTGTTTATGAAACTTCAAGATCACTTCATTCTCTTCTGGAATCTTTTCCTCTGTGTCATGGAAAAGCACAATAATGCTTCCATAGTTTGTTTCCTCTGCTAGAAAACCATGAAGGATACTACAAAGCTTGCATCAAGCAAATGCAGCACCAAAGGAAACTATAATGTACTATACAGTAATTATAACACTGCAATGCCAGTCTCAGTCTTGTTAAAGTACCAGGCTTTTTCCTCCCCAGCAAGCATAACTAATAATCAGGAATTTCATATTGTATGATTCTTAGCTGTCCAAAGCCCTGCTCAGAAGAGTGGACTTTGACACTAAATTTCTAGAAGAGAAAGTGTCAGCCTTACCCTTCTGCAGACTTCATTCAACTGAAACACAGTTTAAAAACACAAGACTAGAGAAATGTATTTCCACTAAGGAAAGAACAAATATCAGATTCCAACTACGTCTTCCAGCTCATTATTTTCTAATACTTCATAGGAAGTTTTAAAGTACCATTGGTAATGCTGCCATTGTTAAAAGCCCAGATTTCCCGCCAATGAGATGACACAAATATTTACTCTTAAGTCTACATTCCACAAACTTGGCTGCATTTGAAAGGAATGATGAGTAACAAAATCCTCTGTTCTTCTGTTTGGAAGGTATCTGTGTTTACAGAACACCATTCTTTAACTGTGAACCAAGCCTTTCGTGCTCTTTGACTAAAGATATGGAACTTATTCCATTTTAAAAGAAGTCTAAATTTAATTTCTCTCACCTCTGATTCAACCATCAGTTGTACATTCTCCACAGTGAGCTGGCTCTGAGAAAGGATGAGAGAAGTACATCTGACATGAGTTTGCTCATCACCTGCTGTTTAAACAGCACTCACTGTCTAAGCCAGGCATTCCCTAGCTGGAAAGATTCCCAGGGCTCTGCAGACACTTGGAGTCCTGTAAACAGGAAGCACCAATCTGATGGCAATTGCCAAAATCAGCTGTTCATTCCTCTGATACAAGTCATATACATTTTGACTTCTGATAAAACATTCTAGCTCAGCTTTGTTAAAGGCTGGGTTTTTTTTCCAATGCCTTGGTCCATTATAATTCTGGTGACAGTTTGACAAGACCACAAAGCAGGGCTCTAAGGAAGGCAAGGGAAGCATCCATGCCATCAACAGGGACTCCATCAGCCCATTTTATCCTGGTCTTTCACAGTAAGAAATCCTGCACCACCCCACACATCCTGTGCTACCAACTAGCACATCACCTACGAAAAGTCACAGCAAAAAAACCTATTTTGTATCAACCTACTGTTTGTATGAACCTACTTCACATAATGCACATTTTAAACTGTTGCACTGTATTTGCTGCATGTAACTTTGCATTCCATCTGCAGAACTGCCAAGATCTCCAAAATTCCTCTACCAGCTACTAACTCAATACTAGGTCTCATGTAACCAGCAAGATGCATCTGGATTTTAATGTTTTCCTAGATTGTTCTTCATTCACAGGACAGCTAAGCACAAACTAGATTTTATGTTTTCTAATCCAAGCATTTCACCTACACAAAAAACAGAGGTGGCTGTGACTTTTTTCCCTACATCAGCACTGCCCAGAGAATAAATTAGCAGATACATTCCTGCTGTCAGGCAGCAGAAGCTTGCAGTGGTAAGTTTCTGAAAATACAAGCCAGACCTGTCCTGAATCAAAACTAAGGAATTCCAAAGCATTTATATAAATGTTATACAAATGTTTTCTCAAATTTTCTTTTCATGAAGAGCATAAATTTGATCCTGTCTCTCTCACTCTTTCACTTTCTGCTGTTTTCCCAGGGCAATAACAAATCACGCTGATATCCTGGTACCTCTGTCTGTACAGCTCCTCTTTCTCTGCAATTGATAGTTCAGTTGTAACAATTTAATTTAATATGCTTTTGTCTCCAACAGAAATATTTTCACATTTCCATTAAAGAACACAATGTATTTATCACATAGGAGCCAGTTAATATCTAAATGAAAACATCTGTTATGCAAAGTGGTGTTATGCAAAATATGTTTGCATTAAACAGCAAAATGAGAATTGTGTTTTTTGCTAACCATTACCAAACAGAACAAAGAAAACCCAGACAACTCAAAGCAACTTAAAGAAGGCACCTTTAACTAAAAAAATTTAAATTTGGGGCTTTTATCAGTCAGTCTCTATGAATTACTTCATCAGTAGCCTTCCATCTCATGTGTGTACAAGCCCTCATATGAAACTGCAGAAGGGTACGTACAATTTGGGCTTGCTTTTAGTACTCTTACCACAAACAGCACAATAAATTTGGAGAGTCTGGACTAAAGATCTGACTTTCCTAAAGTTAGGCCACTTCCATACAACATCTGCCAAGTAGGCTACAAGATAGCAAAGCTATCATAAGCATCCTTTGTAAGCACTTCTTCTGGGTACACAAATTCCTAATTTTGTGCCACTATGCACTGGAATGAGTGATTAAATTAAAAAAGCTACATTTTTGCTGCTTGGATGAGAATCTTTTTGGGGAACACACAGTGTCCTGCACTCTTACAACAGCTAGAAATGACTGCAGTACAGCAGCAGATTATCAAATGCAGTCTTCCAATGAAAAGGTGACTTCCCCTCAAACAATCAAATGTCAAAAGCAGAATCCAACATGGATTCAACATTATAAAAATAAACCAAGAAACTGCAATGCACTGCTTGCCAAGACCAAGGGCATCAGTCCCTGGGGCCCCAAAAAGCATGTATGTGTCCCTCTTTCAGTTCTAATTAAAGTATCAGAAAATGAGCTTTGGCAACACAGTTTACAAGTATTACATTGGCCATAATAAATTTTGAAGATGAAAATTGTCTGTGGATTCTAAAGCTTGAAAAATTTTGAAGGGTATGAAAACACTGCAAGTCAACATATATGCCACAAGTTTCACTGGAATTTTTAAAAGGGCAAGATTTTATGGTTATTTTAAAAATTCACATTCATATTTTGCTTATGACTTGAGGAAAAAAACCAAGATCTATATTTACAAGAAATTGAAGACATATGGCACAATTCTCTTAAAGAAAAAATTGTTTTTTTAACAAAGTCCATTTCACTTTTTCAAGAAATTAATTTTATGATGCAAATAGCAAAGCAAAATCTGTCTGTCCAAAGCATTTAATTAGAGCATGAAATGCTTTTGAGGTCTACTATTTTTAAAAGGGTTAATATGATGAAGAATTTTTACTAATGCTCCTCACCCTCAATTCTAAAATATGCAATTGTACACCACAGGCCATGATTCAGACAGGAAATTCTTTCTTCAAACCTCTCTGGGTATTCTATGACTCACATAACAATTGAGGTATTTCCAAGGGTTTTCCTTTAAATTTCCTAATATATTCTTCTGTAGTTTAACATTTTTCAGATGTAACACAACACTAAATCTAAAGCCAACTGCAACACAAGGCTTCAGCAGAAATCACAAGCATAAGTATCTTTATTTAATAGATTTGCTTGCATTTTCAATGACGTTGGGTGACATTTAGGGCTGTATACTCACCAATAAACTTGTTTTGCATAGTCTCTAGGAGAGCTTGGTGGGCATCCTCTGTTTGCAAAGCACATGAACATTCTCTGGCCAGTATGGTCCGGACAAGGTGCTCTCCACAGCCTAAAGAAATATTAAGATTGGGAATAGTCAAAATAAAGGTATCACTATGAAGAAATCCTGTCATTAATTTACATCATCACATTAATTTGGCTGTGATGATGCAAAATAATGACAATTTCTTCACAGTGATGCATATGACAGGTTTCTGCCACAGATTTTTATTTTGTAAAAATGTTGACACAGAGTCACTAAAATTCAACTAAGTCAGTGGTTTTGTCACAACTTTCCTGAAATTTCAACTGCACAGAGTCATAAACCAAACAAAAGTACAGAAAGAAAAAACAGTGACACTGTCTCTGACTTGGCATCTCTATCCAGATAGAATCCTCTTACTAATCATTCTCCTGGGAATGATCCTTGCATGCAACTCTTCAGACTGGGAACTTCAGTGACACAGTAACTCCTTTTGCATGACAGAATCTTCTACTTAGTCCATCTGATTCAGCCTTTTTGCAACAAAGGAATACATTAATTCACCCATGCTTTTTTTTTGCAAAATGCCTGGTCATTGGACTCCTAATACAAATTCCTGAAATTTTTAAAGGTTTGTCCTTAAGAAACTAAAAAGCTTCTGCAAACAACCACTTATTGCCTCAGTGCTTTCTGCACCTATCACCTGAAACCTATTTTTGGTGAAGACTAGCAGGTCATAGCTGCTACTCTTTTTCTGTAAGAACACTTTCACACCTGCTGTTTTTTCTCCTCTATCCTTTTCCCTTCCTGTACTGTACTTTGGAACATACAGCTGCAGCCAAAAGGCGCCATTCATGTGTACTGGACCAACTGGGCTTTGCTGGACAGGAAAACTCACTGCTGATACCCTCTCTACATAGACCAAGGTCACTATTTGTAGCTCCTGTTTTGACATTTTCCTCAATGGCAGGGAAGCAGACAAAGCAGCCAGAAGAGGTTTAACCAAGAGCCACGTGAACTGTATTATCCAGTTAGGAAAGAAGGAAACGTAACTAATGTAGAGTCGTAACATAACAATGATCTCAAACTGTCTAAATGTGACTACATTTTGATCAAATTTGTAACTTATCAGGGTCTAAAACTGCATTAGACACCAGAATATACAGAGAGAAGTCAGATATAGTCTGTTCACAATTAAATATAAATATTTCTAGCATATTTCTCATTAAATACAACAAGATGATGGAACATACACTGGAACCATAAATAAAATCTGCTATAATCCAGTTGGACTTATTAGCTCAGGTACAGAACTACATAAAAGTACCTACACAGCCTCCAGAAACAAATTTATTGCTGGAAACAATCCAGTTGCTTCCAAGTGGCAGGGAGCTGGAGCTGGTTAGACATCAGACCTAGGCTGGCTTCAGACAAAGACAGCTCAGTCTCCAAGGGTAGCAAACACTTGACTGGAAGAACTAACAAGCCCAGAACAGAGACACTGGCTGAAGCCAGCCTAGATGTGGCATAAAGAAAAATTTAATAATTAAACCAAACCTAAAGTGGCTCCAGCACAGCCTGCTGAGTCTCTCATCACTGTGTATATGCTGAGTTTAGAGCACTGACTGGTTTGGGTACAACATGGCACAAACACATCGGCAGGTCTGGCACTGTGTATTGCAGCTGCTCACTGACTGATTTCTAGTTCTTCTCACCATTTTAAACCCTAATTAACATGGCAGCCTACTCAAAAAATCTCCCTCTCTGGCTACTTGTCACACAGTTATACCCTTCCCCTTAAATGCACAGTGTGTTTCCACTGTTCTTCAAAGATTGCTAATACACAAGAAAAAAAAAAAAAATACCCCCCTCACTTTCAAGATTTAAAACTGCCGCAACAAATCAAAAATCCACCCTCTGGAGTAGTATGGATGCATTAGATGTCAGAGAATCAGCCCAGAGACCAGACTGCTGAAAAATTGTGTACACATGTCCCAAAATCCTGCTATGTTCAATCATCAAAAAAATACCTTGGTCTTCAGTTATGTGTCCCTGCTAATGGGCAGTGTCTCCTGATTAATACAATTCAGCTAAACTGAGTTGTTTGAAGTGGGACACTTTGGCATTGAATCTACATACAATTGGCACAACAGGAAGACAAAAAATTCTTTGTATAGCAAACAGATTGAGTAAAAACCAGTTACAAATTTAGAGGAAAATGAAAGAGCCAAAATACTACAACAGTTAGACAGCCAAGGGAAGTTCTTGAGAGCACAAAGGAAAAAGTGTTTTCATTGAGATTGTCAAGCTCTCAAGTTAATGAGGGAAGTGTCCTGGTTAGGAGATAATCTTCAAGAGGCTTTTGCAATAGAGCAACCTCAGCAGCTGCTTACAGGAGGGTCTGTCCATTCACTTGCTTCATTACACCCACACTCAGAAGCTTCTGTCCACAGCAGAACTGTGAATTACCTACTATTTATTCCAAAGTGATGGATGAAGAACATGAAAAAACCCCACAAGATGCATTTTACCCACTGATCACAACATGGACATCACTTTTTTTAAGCTAAGAAACCTCAATCACTATGAAGTTTTGCTGTAAAGAACAAAACTGAGCAGGCATATGCTGAGAAACTGAGAAAGATGGTTCTTTTCTTGAAGAAATCTGTTACTACCTTTAAAATATAACATGTAATACCTTTAAATATAACTATATGAATAAGAAGCAGGGGACTTAGAATAGGAATCAAACAAATGAGACACAGAAATCAGAGTGAGCCTATGCATCTCCAGTACATCAAGTAATAAAACCAGATGTTACTACTTCACAATTTTCAATTATTTCCTAAATTGGCATCAAAAAAACAATGGCCATTTTTTAGCATGACGTACAATGTTATTTCCCCCACAAGAGAATGACTTTATTGAAGAGTTCCCATAACATCAAGTCTGCTCCAAAAAAAAATCAGAGAGAGAAAACTTAATATGGGTTAAGAACAGCTGCAGCCCACAGATGTGATCCAGGATCAACCACAAGGAAAGCAGCTTTGCAATTCTACTAACACATCACACATCTCTACATCCCCACAGACAAAGTCATTTTTTTTGTCATACTTATGTCAACCTATAAGACAGCAAACTTACAGACTGCTGCTGGCAGTGTATGTAAAAATCTTTCAACACATCAGTTGCAGGCAGTCTGCAGGGACAGATAACTAAGCAAAACAATTCCCCTATTTGGAAAAGAAAAATTTGTTACTGTAGTTTTTGATGTAGGAACATCTATTTTTGAAGAAGAAAAAACAAAAAAACCAAAAAAAACAACTAAGCAGTGTTTAACATACTTTGACCAGATACAGGCCGAGAAAAAGAGTTACACATTTTATTATCTCAAGTCAAAACCAAACTCCTTGCAGGTTTAGCAGATCTATACATCTGTATAGCCTCTAACTGGGGATACACTGTAGATAATACTAGCAACTAGGCACAAAATGAATGTATACATTACTACAGCAATCAAAACTGATTTATAACTTACAATATAAAGTTGTGGGTTCAAATTTATAGTTCCAGTCGCTTTAGTCTAACCACCAGCATTAGCCAACTTCCAAAGAAGATGTATTAACATGACTCAAGACAGCAACTCCTGAAAGCTACTTAAACACATTTCTAAATCATGTACACAAGTTGATGAAAATGCAAATCTGGTTCATCTGCTTAACTATCTCACATTATACTACATTTAACTTCAAGTGTTAATACATTTGGCATTTCTTTCACTGAATAGTACTACAACCAAACCAAGAGGAACTACCACTAAGAATTTTTCAACTCTACATTAAAGTCTCAAATACATTTGTTTTAGTAACTTTCCTGTAAACAGAGTTTAAATCATTTTATTATCCTTTCCCAGTCATGATGATGACTTCTTCAGTAACCTGAAGCTCATTATATTTTAGAGATGAGTATTTTGCAATGACAGACAAATGCTTCCCTAAGACTTCACACATGAGTGACTCAAATGGAGATGACTAGCTGGAAAAATTTACTGGGTTAAATTAGTGCTTCACACTGAAATAACTTTCATATAGTAAACAAATTATTTTCTTAACTCAGTAATATTTTGCAAACACCACGTTGCTTACTTGTAACTCCACCACTGGCAAAAATACTACTGTTGGAACTGCTGCTGTCCATGTTTGCAGGGCTAAGTACAATTAACTGCCTTCCTCTAGGATTGCTACTGGCAAAGGAAAAAAAGCTTCTACAGAAAACAAATAGTTTACAGACACTATTTTGATAAATCATGCCTGACAAGTTTGGTGACCTTCCACAATGAGGTAACAGCATTAGAGAGTAAGGGAAGAGCAACTTCCATCCCTGGAAGCGTTCACAGCCAGGCTGGATGGGGCTTTAAGCAACCTGTTCTAGTAGAAGGTGCTCCTGCCCATGGCAGTCTTGGAACAGGATGATCATTAAGGTCCCTCCCAACCTAAACCACTCTAAGATCCTGCAAAAATTAAACAGAAACATACATACAGATATTTTGATGCAAGTTTCTAGCCTCCTAGATTAAGAGGAAAGACTATACAGATTCCTAAAAGCTCCAGGGATATATGGCAAGAGATTCTTATGACAAGGGAAGGAAAGAAGAAGGAGGCATAATAGCCACAACACCTTTATTTTGTAAACAAACTACAAACCCAAACAAAACTCTAAAACATCCCAGAAAACCTGTCTTCAACCAGAAGTTTCTACTCCTGCCTGAAAACCATTTGAAGATCATATACAAAATCACTTGAGGATCCTACAGAAACATCAACACGGATCTTCAGAGACACATATCTTGGATCATGCCACAATACAGTTTTTAATGCAGTTTTTCTTTCAATATGCCAGGCAGACCAACAGTGAAATACAATTTCCCTTTTCTGTGGGTATTGAAATGTGTAATTTCTGATAATAATTCAATTTTACCTCCTATTCAAATATTCCTCATTGATTACTACAAGAATTGCACAAGAACAGTCTGGGAATCAACGTGGTTTGTTTTTTTTTTATAGTCTCTTTTTCTTCTGTTATCCTAC